AACTCAAAGCCTGCGACTCGCATCGTAGAAACTGGCCACAGTTTTGACTTTTAGGAGGCAACCTTCTTAAGCTGGGGCACCTCAAGTACAGAACGCCTCACACTCTAGGCGTAGCACTCAGATACCGACTCCATCAACAGGCGTCTACAGCGAGTGACCAATCTTATTAAATGTTGGCCGAAATTCTGAAATGAGTTTTCGATTAGTAAGGACTACCTAGATGGGGTTGTAATATTGATTATCATGCGGCATAATCCTATAGTATTTCGAACTCGCCAGGATGTCCGCTTTTGCATACACTTCTTTTCAGCCTACAGCAGGAACCACATTTGACAAAAAAGTGACTACTTAAGTTGCATGTATTTTTTACATTTATATTCGAGGGTCTTATAAATTTAAATATATTTTATGGAAAACACGCGTAAAAATATGCCTTCTTCTACTCGTTTGCTAGGAAATAACGTTGCCTTTACATTTTATGCTCTTTCGGTTTTGAAAACTTTTTTTCATTAGTAGATTTTTAAGACCGTACAGAGTGCATTCATGCAGTATCGTACCTGTTCGCTTACTAATGCCCCTCATGAAGTATGCGACGTAGCTTCCATCCATTGCAAAAGTTCATGAATTCTACATGGCATCTTCTTAAAGACATAGATGAATGTATGAATTTTCCTACACGGAAAGCATACACCTTGTAGACAGAAATCGCTGGACGCTAACGCAACGGCCAACCAGAACCAAACTTATTCGGGAAATGGGGAACTTTTTCAAAACCGAGAGATATCCTTCCTTCGGGCATAAAAATGCAAAGGCAACGTTATTTTCCAGCAAACGAGTAGAAGAAGGCATATTTTTACGCGTGTTTTCCATAAAATATATTTAAATTTATAAGACCCTCGAATATAAATGTAAAAAATGCATGCAACTTTAGTAGTCACTTTTTTTATCAAATGTGGTTTCTGTTGTAGGCTGAAAAGAATTGCATGCAAAAGCCGACATCCTGGCGAGTTCAAAATACTGTAGGATTACGCCGCATGATAATTGATACTACAACCCCATCTAGGCATTCCTTACTAATCGAAAACGCGTTTCGGAATTCGGGCAAACACTTCATGAGATTCGTCACTAACTGTAGACTTCCCAGCGATCTATAAAGCCCTAAGTCACTACATACGCCATGAGCAGGACAAGACGGTTACGTGGAGCTCAATAATACCGAGCGAACACGACCCTTCGACTTTTTCACCCAAATGGGGAGCAGAGGTACAACCGACCTCCATTGAGGTGACGACACAACGCAGGAGGGCGCCTACATTCATAGACAACGACCAGTAGGTCAAGGCAGCGAAAGATGAAAGTCGATAGTCCCAAGGCCAACTAACTCGACCGTTTTTTTCAGAATTATGGTTGATTTTTTGCACAAAAAGCTTTGATAATGGAGATTCGACCAAGTGCTCCGAAACGTCAGTCACTCAATTCCACTGATCCGGTGAGCCCCTCATATTTCTCAGAAATCGTACATGTCCACTCCACGGTATCCACAGATAATCCCCCGACGACTTGTAATCAGTAATCGAAAGGTGTCACCGACAAAGACACGGGCGCTAGAATTGCCATTTCTGCCTTATCTGCTACGATGCAAGCTGCAGACCAAAAGTTTCAGGGCAGAGGGGGAAGGTCCACATCGGTTCCGCAATCACGATAGCTTGGGTGACCGTCACTCAGAAGTATTCCCAACACTAGCCGGTGTGATATGGGATGCCACTGAATGATCAACTTGCTCGCGCGTGCGCACTGACGCATGGGAATTCACCGTCATCGGCTCGTGACGGAGAATAAGCCGGAAATGTTTCATTCTGATGCCCCTGCATCCGTCAGTTAGACTTTCTAATCTATAAAATCCAGCGGGTGGACTGCGCACTATGCTAAAATGAATCGCATGCTATCCTCGAATTTCATATCGAGCGAACAACCGAAACAACGCGGCACTGACGTCCGCCAGCATCTTCGGACAAGGCTGCAACCAGTATTTGGGTCGCACGGAATGAATAGAGGCCAGCACAGAGGCGACAAGGATACGCATTCGCTTATTAAAAAATAACGACATGATATTCACGCCATATCGCCACAGCACGCCTGACTTTTTCGCCCTGACGCGAATTCCTGCTAGGTGGGCGGTCACAGAGCGGACATGGGGATCTACAGAATAGCGATGTCGGGATCGCAGTCAACCTTGAACGTTCGGAGACAGCCCATGGGTCTAGGTGTGACGTCAGGCAGTGTAATATACTCCCGTATCTGGCTCAACTAGGTGCCAAGCTAAAAAGGGCACACAAGCGTCAACAGCTACATCCGGCCTGTCCACAGTAGTTTATACTCTATCAATTGCCGGGAAACACCGTGCGTACGTCGCGGAAGAGTCGGATTTCCCTGGTGGCACGCAAGGTGGAGCCGAACACAGAGCAGTTGCAAGAATTGCTGCGAAACCAATTGAGTTGCGCGCAGCCAGGTGGTTAGTTTGTCCATCGCAAGCATGCCATTCGAACTCTTCGCGCAGGTGCTCGGTACGTTCGTCAGCCCGCATTTGAAATACGAAATGCCAGCATGAATGAAGACAAAGATGCCATCGACCAGGTGCGAAGACGGGTGACAAAACTGGCGGACGGCCTTAGGACTCTGGCATGTCCAGAAAGATTGATCCAACTTAGTTTGTTCCTCCTATCCTAGCAGACAAATGAGGTGTGACCTGTTATGGACATTCCGCATTATCCGCGGGCATGATTGCTCGCTCAAATCTGAAGATTTGTTTGATTTCACAGCCATGAATCACCTACGCGGTCATCCGTACAAGGTCAAATGAGAGCGTACACGCCTAGGCCGTCGAGAGTTTTCATCCAGTCAGCGTGTGGTTCCACCGTGGAACTCATTACCAAGTGAAATTGTGACATCTGACACAATCGTTGTATTCAAAAGGCAGTTGGATCGGTTGATCTTTGATAAACGACGGCTCTCACCGCAGGACTATCTCCGACCAGCCACGAACCCCAATTCCTGATTTCATTCCCTATGCAACGCATCTCTGCGCGCTTGGTGAAATTCTCTCCCGCAGACTACACGAACGGCTGCATTTTGTGCTGATTGTGTATAATCGCACTTATAATCTCAAATGTACATGGAAAGGACCGTCTGCCGTAACCTTCGTAGTTCCACACTTTAAAGACGTTTTACGTAAACGAATTTTACTGGCAACATTTTAGTAACATGTGTGTTTAACCTGAACATCATACGTACCGTTTTCAATGGGGTCATCGAGGGCACTGCCTGTTGTCCTAAATATACTATACTGCATACTACGAGCGACAGAGCCCACACCTGCCCTGGGGACGCAGTCATGTACAGCGCTCCCATAGGTGCATAGAGCGAGTGTTGGGGACATCTATCCACTCGCAGCAGCAGCTGTCCTTCCTTGATGTGCTCGTCAGGCGAAGTCCCAATGGCAAAGTGGAAACAACGATTTACAGGAAGGCAACAAACACCACACGGCTTCTCAGTCTTCACAGCAACCACCCGGTGGCTCACAAACGAAACTGTGTAGGATCCAGAAATACTGCAGCAACGCGGAAGAGGCGGGGCCCGATATCACCGAAACAAATTTATGTGGAATGATCGTCTGACGGCGTTCATGAGCCGACGTCTACGCATTTGTCCCTGGAAGACCCCGCTGATGATATGGCAGGCTCCGTCATGTATCAAAGACGTTTCGCAGGCGACCGTGCGCATTGTTGCGGGGCAAGGTGTTGGAATTTTACACCACCCCGGAGCTACCATGCGTAGCAAGGTGATGAAAACAAAAGAACGATTAAGTCTCACTGAGCAATCAGGTGTCGTGTACCGTATCTTGTGCCTAAATAGCTCTTGAGAGTTCGACCATCGGTTTCGACGATGTCCACCGTGTGTTCCACAACAAGGCGGAGCAAGGACGGTGACTTGTGCGTGAGTTGTAGTGACTGAAGGCATGCTCTGATCACGCATACACGAACATCAGCTGGCTATGCGACGAGATGACGCGTCATCACAAATGGTTGGCCACACCTTTGAAATCAGTCACGAGTCCAACTTCCCAAACGCCAAGATAAGTCCTCACACGCAAGAGAAAAGTCAAGTTTCTTGGAGCCTACGGTGAGAACTCAATCGCTGCACAGTGAGCCCTACGCGGTTGCCTCCAGATATGCGGCACTAGTCATTAATTGCCCAAAGACCCCCTTGACTGTCAACTGTTCTTTTGCTGCTATCATCTCCTGATGCCTCTAAAAGTTCGAAGGGTCTAAAAAACAAACAAGTGGTCCTGGTACTCGGTCTGTTTCCTCCTTCCTTTCTAATGCATAAACCCAGAACTCAAATAGTCGTCTCCATATATACTTTCGTCAAAAAGTCAGGTGGAGTTGTCTAACGGCCCTACTCACTCTTCGCAAGACAAACAAATGACAAAACATAAACGAGTCCACCTAGAACTACGCCAATCTACCCTGAAGAATAGCATGTACTTATTATTTGCGAGTAGAAATGTTATTGCGAATACATATATGAGTCGCGGGTGAAAGTTTGAACGTGGAGACAGCACATTCAGGGGGGTGAGTGCGAGTGCAAAGGTTCCGAGTGCCTGAGTGCAGCGGTGCAGTCCGCAAAGAAGATCTCGACCGTCAAAAATCTTTATTTACTTCTGTCATTACAAAATCTTAAATATTCATCGGGTAAGTACACTGGGAATGAGACGATAGAAGTGCACATAGCATACGTGCACATGATAGATGCCAGGGAGGGGGATGAGATGTGTGGTAACTCTATATATTTGGTGTGATATGAAAAGGAGGCACGGAGGGGAGGACACATGCTGATGCATTAAAAATTTCATATGTGTACAAGACTGGCTGCAAAGTCGGGTGTAAAAAAGCATATCCACTTCGGGAATAATACAAACGTAGGAAAATGCAGTGACTGGCTCAGAGCGACGACGAGAGATACTGAAACAGAAATGGGTGTTTAAGGGAGGGAGGTTAAAGGACGCAACTGCAATGACTGTCACACATAGCAGCTAGTCACTGGCGAGAAAAAAAGACTGGATAGATGGAGCTTTGAGGGTCCGACGAGTGACTCCCACCATCAACTCTGTCTCGCTTAAGACTTCAAGGCTGGATCAGAGAAACAGGCTCGAGAACACCGAGTTACTAAATCACAAGTAACGACAATCGCCATTCTCTGGGGGAATTTTAACGATTTGCAGGTGATTAGAAGTGAAAGAAACTCGAGGAGTCTCCCGCACACATTGACTGGTGGTCTGTGTGTGTGTGCCAGAATATGGCTGCTATGTCGCTCATAATTCAAAGAGGCTTCCCAGGCAACTTTACTGGCTACTCTCTATTGGTTTATCCTGCCAATTGGGGGCGTGTGGCCACTGAGTGGTGCCAGTGACACCACTTGAGGGCCAGGTGGAATCAGAGCGGAATGGCTACTTATGGGGGGACGGCGTTTTCGAGGCAATTAGAGACGGCGCGCGTGCCTATGAGGCCGGCCTCAGGGAACCAACCAGACGATCTACTAGACAAGCGGCGACCAACTTCTGTGTTTGTACCACGATTGTGCAAGCCTTTAGTTAAATCCTTGGTTGAAGAGAAAAGACTGCGACGCATGACAATGCAGACTAGGAGGAGTTTACAGAGTCATTAAGACGTGTTTTGAGCGGGCGGGTCTGTGTGTGATTGATCGGCCACATAGCCGACCTCCATAGATTTCTCCCAGAGATACGCCAGGGACGTAAACTTCAGCTTTCTCCCTTCAACGAACGCCTCGTAGCCGTGTCATGCAGCGGTAGAATATCGGCGAAACACGCGTGTATGGGCTTTTGGCTGGTACCTGTGCTGTTAGTATGGAATGACCTTGCCCTAATGTATACTACTAGCTGCCTGTCAGCAGTTAAGGAATATTACGCGGTTATCCACTGTGGTTGATGGACTTCGGCCCAAATATTCATATATAAAAACTTAGATCTGAGCCTATAGACCTTACATATGCTGATATACTCCAAGTTCACAGTTAATTTCAAAGGAAATTAAAAAGCTACAATGCCTTGTGTGTGATTAAATTGACTAAAGGGACTAAATTGACCTTCTATGCTTCTACCACGATTGTGCAAGGCTTTAGTTAGATAAAAAAAACTGCGACGCAAGACAATGCAGACTAGGAGGAGTTTACCGTGTCATTAAGACGCGTTTTGAGCGGGCGAGTCCGCGTGTGATTGATCGGCCACATAGCCGACCCCCATAGATTTCTCCCAGAGATATGCCAGGGGCGTACACTTCAGCTTGCTCCCCTCAACGGTATTAACATCTTAGGTGTGATTAAATTGACCTTTGTGTGGGCAGTGCTGACAACGCTAAGCTCTGGCGCAGACTAAGCAAAGGCATCGGCACTTTCTCCCAAACCAAGTTCGGGGCAAAACAATGCCCTCTCTCTCTGTGACATAACAGTGCTTAATGAATGAGCCAGGTGGTACACGAACGACAGAAGCAGAGGCGCGCGCGCTATCAAAAATGCTAACGAATATACCAGCTTCTTCTGCTGCTCACCTCCTTGATAACTTCGTTAATATATTGCTTCTTCGAGGATAAATCTATGCCTTCATATTGCGCGGCGATCTGAAAGAGAAGAAGAGGCATTAGATTTTGCTGATGTAGCGTGTAAGTCAAATACTGCATTCTAGTGAAAAAAGGGGGAGGGTATACATGGACAGTTCTACTTGGGGACGGGCAGTTTTTGCATGGTCGCTCGTGAATCAACCAAATGTAATGTTAATATCGTCGCCGCCCGCGAGACCCGTTTCTGGGAAAAAGGCGAGCTAAACGAAGCTGGAGAGGGCAGTCGTCACAAAGGATCAATGCGACGTCGGAGACGCCCTGCTCAGCAGAAATTACATCTTCACGCACGGCGAAATGACGCCAGCTCGCAAGTTGTGGCTCAATCGACGAGATACGGCCACAAATCCAAATTCGACGAGGCCTAAATTCTCTCTAGAGGTGACAACTGCGTGAGCCGGAAGCTGCTCGAGTCATGGTTCACTGACCCCCCGGTCTATTAATGAGTGCAATGACCTTCGCCTTCCATATTAGATGCTGATGCTTAGCCTAGGTGGAGTAATTAACGACGCGGGGAGCGCACAGGTGAACACTGCTCCCGACACCCGGGTCAGTGGGTCAGATGGTCAAGCAATCATCATCCCCAACATCCAGCACATGCGATGAAATTGCAGCAAGTAACGACGCGAATGTCGGCCATCAAACAGTCATCGCACCAAGTGCAACGACCCCTGATGAAGGGGAGAAGCCGTGAATTTTCACAGGTGGGCGGTCACATGGCGACTGCATCCGATAAATACTGCAGCCCCTTGTGCATGAACCGCCTGTATATGTTGTTGTCTCGGCTGATGGGTTAAAGCAGGAATCCAAAACGTCAGGCGATTAAAGCTCTTGATCCAGTGATCGTGTCCCTTTCCTCACGACTACTTCCTGAAACTCGTCTCTAAGCTTCTATAGGCAATGAATTTTTATTGAAGACTTGCGCTAAACGCAGCAACATAACAAGCGCGGCCTTTATACATGGGTTGTACGATATAGCTAAAAGCCCAGGCTGTTGGTAGGGCCCGAGTGAGAGCCCGTAAGGCACAACGGAACGAGTGAGTTCCCTAAAAACGATCAGTGAGCACCCCTTTACCAGTTTTGCAATTGCTGGTTTATAAGCTCCTCAGGAATACATCACTTTCTCGGAGTAACTCAGTCTGTTTGAGACTTGTAAGTTCAACATATATTTGTCATGACGAATGGTGTAGTATGTCGTACAAGTCATGTATTCATTACTCACAGCCCGTTGGGAGTTAACGAATATTACGGGGGTATTTGGTTGTGGCTGGTGGACTTCGGCCCAAATGTGGTCAAGTGTTTGTTGTGGACCAGGGTTTTGTGGTGAGCCTAGGTGCGGGGTCTACACCATGTCGGCCTTTTGCGGCATCTCCCGCCTCCGGTCCTTTTGACTGTGTCTTGACACCCGATCCGGGTGGGGGAAGAGAAGAGAGTGCGGTAGATGCTGCGCAATCCCACTATCACTTTAATTCGCACACAAGTCGTCGCCCTGCTCTCATTCTGCTATTGAGCACGCGGTGGACATAGTCGAAATCGACGGTCAAACAGTCCTCGTCTGTGTACGCAGGTAGCGGATATTTAACGGTATTCGGTGATTGACAACAGGGAAACAAACCGGTTCTCGGATCTGGCGAATAAGCAGTCACAGATCCTGCAGAGACAATACCTTTAGGCGTGACGAAGGTTGGGTGACATTCGATCAGACTTAAACCCCCCCTCCCTCCCTCCTCGCCCGCACAGCAAAGGTCCGGAACGCTAAGCTGGTGTGTCGTCAGAGAGGATGGAGACGCCTTGTGTTGAATCCAGGATCATCAGGAAACTAGCCCTCAAACAAGTTTCTAACACAACCTTTGTCCGGTGAGTTACAATTTAGTCGGATTTGCGAACGACCGGGGTAGGATTGGTTGAATTTGTCGAGGAGGAACTGTTTACTGGTCAATAATAACGACGGCGGCAAGGCAACACAATGAGTGGCGACGGAAGTGCAGCTAGAATCTCTAAAGCCTGCTGGGCCTTCGACGGGCTACAACCTTCAGTATCCAACTGACGTGACATTCTTTTTAACAACAAGCTAAAGATGTGCACGGGACGGGAAATTCGACTCTCCAGCGAAGCAACAGGAACAGATTCTGGATACTGGGTTTTTGGAATCGACTCAAATGCTCGGCGCTTTGTGACATTGAAGCGAATGACACTTTTACTGGACACTGGTAGTAATGAATTTAAATTGGCCTCTCCAGAAGCGCTATAAGCGCCCACGGACGAGGAGCACAGAACCAGCATTATAATGCGAGGCGAGGTGAGATTTCGCTCAAGGGCCTCGAGATAAGTGAGTACTTCTCAGAAAGGAACGTAAAAGATCAGAAGCATAGAACGGGCCGTACGAAATGGACTCTTCACCTTCGAGGTCAACCGCATCCCGGGGGCCAAGGAAGGGTCATATGGGAGCGAAACTGAAGAGTCGGGGAACGACAGTGCTAATACTCAACACCTCGTGTCCTTACTGTGCAACAACAGCAACGCGAACAACGCGTCGCGGAACATCCTTAAGAGCGCCTCGACTAGAGATGTTACGCCATTTCAAACTCGACTCGCCAAAGAAACCGTAGCGGACATTCTACACTTGCAGCGCTTTCCGTCTCAATGTGGGGTAAAATGAATGAGGCGTCCGATGTAGCGGCTGTGAATCCTGGGTCCACACGCGACGCCCGCATTGTTTTCTCAGCTTCGCTAGATCTGTTCAACTCGCTCGCTGTTCAGTCAGACTTGATAAATCCAGTCAGTCTTTCCTGCCCAGTAGTAACAAAAGTTCACGCATGGGACACCTTCATACACACACGTCAGTTCGACTGTTGAGAATGACGATGTCCATCGCGGGTGCAGGACAGTGACTTGCGGGTGAATTTGTTTATATGGACTTGTGCAGCATCTAGCGCACCCCCATCTGCATTCACCTTGGGTCGGTGGCAGGACAGAGTCAGGAAGACCGGAGGCGGGATCGGACGCAGTGGCTGGCAAGGTCAAAGTGTCCGTCTACGCGTGCCAAACATAACCCAGCCGACGCACGGTAGAGCGGATTTTAACAGCAACAAGGGACGGCCGAGATCCCCTATGAGTGGGAACCTTCCCACACACATACCGGCAAACCCTCCACCCAAACCCCAAACACGACCTCGTACCGACGGCCATCATCAACTGCGAAGGGTGAGTTAGCAACTGAACACAACAACCGATCCTACTGGCTGTGAAATCCTTCAGCGTTGGCCTCGCACCTGCATTATTACCAGAAAGGGTTGGAAAGAGGCGGTGTCGAAGAATAGACAACATCATAAGCTTACGGAGTTCCGAACGACTTTCATCGAAGTCTCCTGCAGATTGGACGTCTTCAGGAGCTCAACGACCCTAGACTTCAGTTCCTCATCACTGGGAAAGTTTTGCTTCTCTGGAACCATTTTAGCCAACGGCAGCTCGTCTTCCTCTTCATCATCGCTCTGCATAATAGTGCGTCGCTTCTTTGGTGCAGACTTCTCCGTCTTAGCCGCAACTTTTTTTACGGATGCAGGGGATGCCAGTTTTGTTTTGGCTCGTTTCGGGGTAACCTTTTTCCGGGCTTTTTTGGTTTTTCTGCTGCCCGGGGAGTAGACCTCATCATCGCTGTCGTCCGACGCCTGACCGACCTCGGAGGAGTCCTCTTCCTCCGCCTGCTCCTTTTTATTGTCTCCTGTTCCGCTTTGTTCTTTCTTCCCTGCTTCACCCTCATCACTCTCGGAGTTGCCTTCATGATCGTCCTCTTCCTCCTCAGTCGTCGCCTTGCGCTTCCGCCCACGTGGGGCACCGGAGGCGCGCTTGGTTTTCTTGTCACCACCGGACGAGTTGCGTGAGCGCCGTTGCTTCTTGTGCAGTTTTCCCTTATACTTAACAGAGTCGGCGGAAGGGGAGCAGAGGAAATCGATGAGACGAGAGACAAGCTGCGGTCGACTTCCGCTCACCTCCAGATTCAAAACACGCAGGGCCTCACGAATGAGGATGGCCGGCCGCCTAAAAAAGACAACAGCAACAACAAATGATCGATTTGGGCATGCAAGACTTATGGCGGTTAAAAAAAGAGAAAAAACTGTCAGTCCAGCTTATCCTATCTTTGTCGATGAACTTTTAGTAATCATCTGTTTCTCTTTCCTTGTTTGTGAGGACTCTAGCCTGACAAAAACGGAATCGCTGGTATTCAGTCCTGTAGGACAGGTCAGTGAACACCACTCAGAAGCGATGTTTAATACCAACACCCGCTCCCAGCCGTGTGTGTGTCCGTAGGGCATCTGACTTTAGAAAGTCGGTACGTTCGAGTCAGGTAGGGTTGGTTGGGGACGGCAAAGGAGTTAGAAATCGCCTCCATGTGTTATTGATATCCTTCAAGGCGGCACCGTTGCGGCTTGTAAAAAAAAACCGGTCCCATTTCGAATCTGGAGCTTTCCTGGAGGAAGGGATGTTGCCGACAGCCATCATTCCTCAGTGCTATGCTACGGTAGAAACCGTAATTGATACTGAGGTAGCGAGAATTACTTGGTCGAACTGTTTGGCACCCCGCATCAGTCACAAGTGTTGAGGCGATTATCCCCTATTTCTTCTAAAGATCGTTCGAACAAGGATGGAACAGAAAACTTGAAAACGGCAACCCCACTCGTGAGCAAACGATACTTAAGCGCTGGTGCACCTGTTCTTCACACTGTGGTCCTCTGGCGGCTGTCAAGTTTAAAGACCCAAACAGGGTGTATCACGTGAACTGACGGTATAACTGGTTCCTATCTAGGTTGCAATTACTCCTTAATGTGGCCTTTATGGGGCTACAGTAGGTGATCTATCCCATAAAACCTGATTACACCCCGCTGTGCGGCACACAGTTGACACCGTCGGCAACAACGTCGGATTGTCATCAAAAAGCGGATGAAGTGAGTCTTTCTGCCAAGAATCTAAGGGATCAAAACAGATCAGAGGTTTATCCCGTCCGGAGTCGTTTACCGAATCTGGTGTGGTTGCGGACAAAGCAACTATGTCGGAGAAACTGGGAGATTACTCCGTACACGAATTGCCGAGCATGCAGCAGCAGTGAGGCGGGAGACGCTAGCTCTCACGTGGCGGCACACTCAACGGGACCCGGCCATATTTTCAAAATTCAAGAGGCCGAAATCCTCGCAAGGGGTGACAACCGCGTGAGCCGCGGGCTGCTCGAGTCATGGCCCGCAATCCATCAACAAGCGCAATGACCTTCCATGCTGACCTTCCGTGCTGAGATTTTCCCTGGGCAGGGGAATCAGTCACGTGGGAAGGGCGCGGGCGAGTAATTATCTCAGTGACAGTGAGCCAATTTGCCGAGCAATCGTCACACCAGCATCCAGCACGGATTAGGAAATCACGGCAATTAACGACTCGGACTCTGACTGACAAGCCACCACCGCATCAAGTACGACCCCAGCGGTGATTGCGAGAGCTGTTAATTACAGTGCGCATACGGTCCCACGGCAGTAACGTGCTATAAATACTGCACTCCTTGTGCCACCATCACCTTTATCTGCGAATGTCTCTGATGATGGATTCGGGTGAGAATCCGAAAAGTCAGGCCAATAAATTTCTTGTTCCAGTGATGGCATCTTCGTCTTCCGGTTTATCCCATGTTTATGAGGGCCAACTTAACGAAAGAGAAAAAAACTTTATCACCCAGGGTTGGGGAGGTAATACGCAAGAAATATTAGTGGGTCTCAAGTTTCCAATGTCAAGTGAGATTGGAAATATTTCACACATAGCCAACCATCATGTATAACGCCTACATTACGTGACCTAACTCATAAAACTTCCTGACAGAATCCGAAATGAGAAGTGTGGACGCCTTAAATGTTGCGCATCTAGCTCATTCGTCCGGCCTCTTCAGGCAAGTGCCCTTTTCTCGTGCAGGAAACGAGTTCACGCAATTTTAGCAAGCAAAATTCTCATAAAGTTGGTAAAAAAAATGAACGTTGCATTATATTCGGGCATTTTCTTATGCCAGTACTTGTCCTAGACTTCGGTTGCGCATCTGAGTGTTCTTCCTTGAAAGGAGGTTAACTTACCATCGAGTCTTGCCAAACAAGGTTTGTCGTACTTGAAAATTGACTTCTTGTCGGATGCTAACCGAGGGACTCAGTCTGTTAATACAATGTTGTCCCCTAACGCATACCGACAATCCTTCGTTTAAATGGCCCGCCACTGTTCTGCCGCTGGAAAAAATCCTAGGGGTTGACAACAAAATGACCTTGAAGTGAACATACACAGCAGAATTTATTGAAACCAACAAATTTCGCGGCGGCAGTTACAGTCGATAAGCCGTCGTTAAATTTGTCCGTTCCAATAACTTCTCCTGTTTATGTTCGCTTCAGATTCATGCCGAGGAAATATTTCTTCAAGATTACCAAAATGACTATCACAGGATAGTTATTTACAGATTCCAACATACGAAACACTGCTTTTCGCACGGTCTCCTTCCTGCATATACGGAAAGCGCAACACACTAACATATTCAGCAACATATCAGTATTTTAATGGCCACTCTGTCGTGCATTCGTAATCGCAGAACGGAGCCTAACAGTGGCCGCAATATAAAGAGAAAGGTGTGTATTTACGTTTGTGGCAGAAAAAATATCAATTTTTTATTAACATGAAAAAAACGGCCAAAAAAGTCAAACTTTCCTCTGGCTTCACTGTGTAAAAATGCAAAGAACACAGACATCTTGCGTCGTTTAATTTCCGAGGAAATAAATGCGCGAACTTGGAGTGAATCCTTCGGAACAGACCTTCTCAGGCATGGCGCGAAAATCGATATTAACATTTGAGCTGAAATCCATCAGCCACCGCAGCATAACCGCGTAATATTCACAAACCGTCAACAGGTAGCCAGTAGTATAAGGCTATTTAATTATTTACCACACTAAAAACACAGGTACTAGCTAAAGGTCCAGACACGCGTATTTTGCCGATCTTGTGCCGCTGCCTGACGCAGCTGCGATGAGTTCAGCCCATCAGTAGGTCCTCCCGCTTTCCCCGTGGCTGCCTGTTGGCGGTTTGTCAAATTTCTAGAATTTAGTACATGCATCTGTTCTTACGACATCCAACAAGTCTAGTCAATTTGTTGTTTAAAAAACCGAAGGGGTGTGTTTATTTGAAGAGGAATGTGGATTTGCGGTGTAGTGGTTCCCCAGCCTTCTTTGTGTTTTTTTGGTATATGAACGCCGTGCCGGTTTGTGAATATTACGCGGTTATCCCGCAGAAGCTTATGGATTTCTGCATAAATATTCATATTAACTTTCAGACCGTGCTTGAAAATGTCTATTCCGAAGAATTTACTTCAAGTCAGCGCATTAATTTCCTCGGAAACGAAACAAGGCGGGGTGAAACTGGAGGTTACATACCAAAAAACACACGGGAAAGTCAGGGGGCTCCGATGATGGGCTGGACCTTTTGCAGCTGCGTCAGGCAGCAACACAAGTTTGGCGAAGCCCGCGTACCTGGGCTTTTAACTAGTAGCTGTGTTGTTAATACGGTAGTTTCACAGCTGCACACAGACATCTGTCAACGGAGTGCAGTGTTCCACACCTTGGGGTTGGGTATGACTGGCTGACGACGGCTAATAAGCCAGAAACGGCCATTCCAGTCTCCCACGTCTTTGTCGGTAATAACATTCATCCAATAATTATGCGATATGCGTTAGATGTGGTCGGTCTCCCAGGCACCACATACATGCTCACTCCCAGCCATGACCGTCTCGACATTGAAACAGCGTGTGAGAAGAGTGAGAAAGGTTCCTCGAAAACCTTGCTCATTCTGAATCAGTTCACGGTTCGGGATGGCAGTGGTTCTTGTCACATGCGGCAAGGCTAACCACTCTTACAGGAGGCAATTTGTAGAAAAATAAATGAGCGCACAACGCAAAGCGAGTCGGTAGACCGGAAACTCAAAGGGGGCAGGACCTACTTGTTCAGAAGCTCCTCTCGTCTGGTGTATTCCGGAGCAGATTTAGTAAAGACGAAGCCTCGGAAGCGCCGCAAGTTCGTGCGAATTTCGTGCACCGAGCCGGGTCTTCCAAAGGCGGCAAAATGCAGCAGCTTCAGGTCAGCAGGTTTCGACTTTTTTATGGAGGCCTCAATCAAGGGAATCTCACCGAGGGGACAGCCCCGACCCTGCAGCTGGGTGGTAACCAGATCATGTTGCCTCTCCCTGTCCGCCTGCTGCTGCTCAAACCGTTTGTTAAGAGACTCAGACAGGCGTTCTACGGTCTTGCGAGGACGATGGCTAGGCCGGCCACCCGGCGTGGTAGAAACGTCGTCTGATTTCTCCTTCGGGTCGTGATCCTCTTTCTCCTCGTTTTCTTCGTTCCCATCTTCTTCCTCTTCTTCGTGTTCAGACCGGCTTCCCTGGTCGGATCGCCCACCAGGTTTCTGAATATCTGACTCGGACGTTGAAGGATCGTTACCTGAAGAATGTAAATGGATAGGGCTGTGTAAACGCTGAGGCGACAGGAGCTCTGTCTCTAGCATAGACAGCATCTACACTAATAGGCTCATCTGTCCTAAGAGATGAAGGCCAGCAGTGTTTCGAAGAGGGAACAGAGGCGGCTTCCGTATGAACACAACTGCAGCAATGGTAGAGGGTGATCAACGGTCGTGCTGCCGGAATATACTCGCCCCGTTGTGACTTTAGGCTCAGTCTAGCGACCCGCAGGCGGTCGCATGGCGGCAGAATGACATTACTGACAAAGATATGGGAGATTGGAATGGCCATTTCTGGTTTACAAGGCGTTATCAACTAGTCATACCCAACTCCAGATCTGCGGCCCCTGAAACCCAGGTCCGCGTTCTGTTGGTTAAAGGTCCAGCGCTCTAGCCACTGAGCTACGGGCTCGTTGTCCTGTCGATTACGATCGGGTACATTAATAAAGGTCGAGAGCGCTGACCGATTGCGTTGCGGGGCATGACCGACACGCTGTGCCCTGAAGCTTGATATAAAGCCCTGCAGGCCAGTTTCCACAAGAGATGGGTATGCCAGACCCAGAGTCCACGAAAACATGAGTGTCCGCGGCTACCGTTCTGCTACGACGTAGCATAAACGAAAACCCATGTGCACTAACTATCTAAGAATCGCGAAAACAAATTACAGGCTAGGAGCGACCCCGATCAGTAACTGGAGCTTTGAATGGCTTAGTGCACGACCCGCACCAGTTAGGCGTCGGTTTTGACCTTCGTCACAGTTACCTGGGCTGGAGTCAACAATAGGCAAAACCTATTTTAACACAATTCGCCGGGATATGGTAGTTCTTGGACCTTCATTATCCAATCTCCCACAGCGGAAGGAAGACTGAGCCGAGCTCTTCGGATCCGCTGCAATAGATCGTTAAAGGAAAAGAGCTACAACCCACATCAGCCGGGTCGGCTAAACTAGACGTGACCACAGCCGCACCAAGTACAGGTGTACAAGAAACAACGGTTGTCCTTCGAATCATTCAACCTGGAGATTACTTAAAAGACGACAGACAAGGCATAAGTGGTCACTCACACAATCCCCGGCTCCGTTAAGAACTATGAGAGATACAATTTGTGTCGACCAAAAACCGGTAGGCGAGTTAACCACTCATTTGAGCGACACAATGTCTAGTATTTCCTCTATAGGACAATTTGCCTGATCTCAGGAAGTTGATCACGGTTTAGCAGGGTAAAATGCGGACTAGTGGACCTTACACATTGTATCGATTCTATTGTGCGGTCTCTTCTATCCGGCACCCGCCTCAGAAAACAGTTCTAGAAGGCAGGTATTCCTCAAGAACGCGAAGATAATGGCAAAGTCTCTACAGGGCACGTAACTCACTGGTAGTGCGTAACCCTGAATTCCGTGACTGTGTGTAAGAATAGCCGTGAAACATGCGGGCGAGATACTGTTGCGTCAGATTCTGCGCGATACCATTCCTACACACTGGCGATCGATGAAAGCCACTTCGGCGCATGTTCAGCTATAAAGACGCAAAATCATGTTCGGAACAGCAACGATAGTCTAATACAGGTACTATGAGACCCATCGTTTATCACAATGAGGACATAAAAACGATCGCACAATCGACAGCGGTCGACATCCTACGGAGCTTTTGTTCATCGTTCAGCTGTGAACAAAGGTAGTGCTTCCTAAGTAGGGAAAATCTCTGCCTACAAACAGACCATGCCCAGTAGTGCGTACTATTGCCACGATGTTATTCGAGGAAGTATGTTTCATCAGGCGAGACGTGAGTAACGGACGCTACCATATATCGAAATTGTCTATCACAGCCCTTGTAGACAAATATAATTGCTGCAAAAAGAGGTAATACGGCGGACAACCGCTGGACAATGGGATGGTAAAACTAGTAGTGGTGGCAGTGGTGGTAAAGATGGTAATGGTGGTGGCAGTAGTAGTAGTAATAGGGAAGAAATTCAATGTTTGGCGGAGTTTTAGCTAACACTGCGGACAGCTTGCCTGAACTTTCGGCTTTGCTTCCAGCGAGGGCCTAAATAGTCGACAAAAGGTCAATATACTTCGGAGGTCAGTCACTATGAAGGGGAAGGGGTGGGTTCGCCTAGTTGACGCGTATGGGTGAATGTGCTGAGTGACCTCGAGAATACGATAAAATCGAAGTTATTAGAGGTGCGAAAGAATGGATACATGAACGTCGGGCTTTTTGACCTTTAACGGGAAAATCCGACCATGCAACGAGGGGATCGCCATCCCTCCAGTCGAGTGCCTAAACCTAGCGTTGACTTCATCCGTAACAGCAATTAGCCGTACATCCTTTGCTACTATCGATGGTCATGCAGCATGACTGTCTAACAGGTCATGTGCATTGCCGGCCGTAAAACAGTGAATCTTTCTCCAAAGACAGTTATATTCCAGAAGTAGGTCTATACGTCTGACGAGTTGTTCATTGGTGAGGGTCATTTTGTGCATTTGCTCGGGCCACGGACAGCTTTTGATTCAAGAATGAAGGCGAAATTTCGATATGGCATTCTCTGCCATACATCAAGGGTGTTTCAGAAGCGACCGAGCGCATTGCTGCGGAACTAGGTGTTGGAATTGCACACCGCCCCAAAGCCACCATGCGCAGCAGGGTCATGAAAATCAAAGACCGGTTAAAACCCGAAGAGCAATCTGGAGTAGTGTATCGCATTCCGTGTCAAAATTGTCCTTGTAACTACACAGGACAGACTGGACGCATGCTCGGATCGCGCATACACGAGCATAAGCTGACTGTGCGGCGAGGAGACGCATTATCACAAGTGGCCGCCCACACCTACGAAATGGGTCACGAGTTTGACTTCGCATCCACCAAAATAGTCGCTCACGCCGGAAACAAAACAGGCCGAGAATTGATTGAAGCCTGGGCCTCGGATGAGAACTTGGTCAATCGATTCATCGATCTGGCGCCGACGTACAGAGCCCTTCGTAGTCACCTCCAGTCGTGCGACGTCGGTCGATGATTGGGCCTACGTGCCTTATAACTGCCGCCTATCCTGTTTCTGCCATTACCTCTGACGATGGACTCCTGTATGAGTCTGAAAGCTCAGGATAACAAACGAAGTGTTCCGGTGCTCGACTCTTCTTCTTCACTTATGCAGCTTTTGATTCGCAGCAATAACACCAAATGGACAACGGCGTGATTGGCTTTTCTATCCTTAGACAAGCGGTGGAATGGACGACAGATACCTGCATGAGGTGCGTTATGTCTGGTCAGTATAGAAGAATCAGACGACAGAGTTCACGCCTGACAAAAAGACACATTTCCACTAAAGGGGAAAGTGATAGCAACTTCACCAAAGACTATGGGCTTTAAGTGATAAGCCGTTTTGATTTAACAAGACCTTTGAGGAAAAAACAGCAGAAGGAAAAATAAACGGGAAGACGAGGACGCGCAACATGAAATTAAAAAACTGTCTAAGAAGACTCAGACGTGTTCAGTAGGTAGACAGGAGTGCGTTATATTTGTTTAATTACGGGACTGACTGGCTTCATGACAGTTCCTGCTTCAGTCACTAGTGTTCCTATAGGGGCGTCTTGTGATGATTGATACTCTGGACAAACTTACCGGAAGAATCGTCGTTTGCTGATGTGTTTGGGAGACCGTTAGATGACTGTGGATGCGGTTTTTCCACCAGGGTGTCGGCAAAGGTTTCCACCTTATCAGACATTACGAAATAAGCTCCAGTCGCTTTGATCTTCAATACGTTTCCTGGATGAGTCGTAAAATTAAACGTGAATAGACATGCAAATTCTTCATGAACAAGCATGTAGATAGTGACATTTCAGAGAACTTATAATATTTTCTTTTCTTTCAAGTTTACAACTGGCTCAGGGTTACTCGTGGTTGCAGACTAAGGCGTCATCGTGATGAACACTGATAGAGGAACGGAGTGATTTGCTAGTGTTTATCTGAAAAACTATCTGGCGGGACGACCGGCTAGTTACGATTTTTCCGGAAAGCAACATTATAAAGCACAGTATTGAGTGAAGTTATAAGATAATAAGGCGGTGTGAAAATGGAGACTCATTTGGTTAGTTTTCTGGGGAAAGAAATTGCGGAAACCACAAATCTTTGAAACGAATTCGTGAGCATAAATTAGTCGAAACGAGTGCTACGAAGGCTAGTCACGACACCAACTTCTGATAATTCGGGAGCCTGCCAAACGAAAATATATCGCATGCAATTGAATGGGAGTAGAGTCTACTTCAATCATGCGAACACCTAGAGGGGTAGCATTACATACGTCCCGGACACAAAGGTCACCCAAGAGTTATTTAACGACGGCAGGGCAAACCGCATAAGGAACACTTGAGTAAGTTCCCACGAAGCCCAGCGTAACCCAAATAGACCCGTAAAGTGCAGGTAGGCCTTACAACAAATAGAGGCATTTGTAACTCGTTTGTCTATCGAGTCAACTACACGCCTTGTTAGTCAAATTACTGCAATGACCACACCAGCACTGAGGAAGAAACTAGAATGCGCTTTAGGCTGCTATTTTCATCTAGCTGTCGTAAGTACTGGTAGTATGTGATGGGGAAAAATGCTACGAAAACTACTAGCGGGAAATAGCGTTGACTTGTACCATGAATGGATATCAACATGTATTAATTTCTGAATATACAAATCTAAAGAGGAACCAGCTGGTCGGTGAACAAAAAAAAAACCAGAAGGAGCATTATGCAAACGTGGTGCCTGAAAAGGTACAAAAGTAGCACGCACAAGAGTCGGTGATTTTCACTTCCGAAATTGGCGCTGTCGTTCTTTTTAAGTCTGGAGTTAAGTAAAACCATAAATTAGGGTTGTCATTACTCCATGCGCAAAATCTAAACTTTTGTCGAGATATCTGGGTCAGAACCTCAAAGTAGCAGTGTTCAGATTTCAGCAAATGACTCATTGGGAAGGGTTTTTGTATGCGCATTTGCAGAGACAGCAGACTGCAGTGTTGCTTCACAGCAACATTCGTTGGTCAGGCCTTAATACGTATAATGCGGACGATGAGCTAGGCGAGTACGGTGTATTTATTTTAAATGAAGCAAAACTATTAGGAACTTGGTGCCCGGCAGTCTTCTGTTTCTTCTTCGATTTTATGAACAAATTTAGCCGTTATATGGTCGACAATCCCCAAAGAATAGTACCTGGGAATCTTCGTAAAAGTTTTAATTTCAGTCTTACTCCATTTGTCGCCCTCACCTAATTAGACCGGCCTTACAATGGTCATAACACTCCAGTGGTCATAACTCGTCTGGTTATCTCTCCGTCAAACCCTTGCTATCTTTGCTTGAACGTACAATTTTTTAGAACAAGCTGCTCAAATATAGCACGATGAGCTGCTTAAGTCTCTCTTACTACCACAGCGTCATTGTACATGACATTGAGAACTGAACACAGGATATTTCGGTACACATGAAATGCCGCTTGCTCTGTTATCAATGATTTATATCACGTTCAAATGTTCGTGCAACATAGTGTCTTAATATCTGCCCTGTCCGCGAACGACGTCAAATCCACTGGAACCCGCTGTATTCGTGTTGGCATTATCACTATCCCTGCGATGGATTTTCCTGCTACTACGGCGCGTAATCGACGACTCAGGATACTTACTCTTCATACTGCCTCAGTTTCTTTTGCCTCCCGCCACCATCATGATTCTCCGGTGGCTGTTTGGGTTTCATGATCTTACATCATCTCCATTCCATTTCAGGCCTTCCGTCACCCAGCATCCGGTGGGTATCTATTGTGATGCTTCTGTTTCGTTCGTCGGTCTCCGCAACTTTAGTCAGACGGTGGCACGGTCGCTGGAGCAAGTACTTTATTAGCCTAAGTTTTCAGATTCCCACTGTAATCCATCATTCGGGGCAGAGTCAGGTAAGGGTAGTGGATTCGAAGTAGAATCCGAAACGCTTGGTCACTAGAGCACTGGTTCCAGCCACCGTGTCTCCTTCTCTGCCACTACTTCCTGGAATTCGCCTCTTCTCTCCTCTTTAGTCAACCAGTCTGTCCGAGTTCATAGCCCATAAAGCACATGATGAAGAGTATGGTCGTCTTATCCCTTGGATTTGGAGCCTGTGGGTAGATTGATACAGTGCTGCTTCAGATTTATTTTGCCTTCATTCAACCAATCATAACTCTGACCACCAGCAGGGAACACAAAAATAAGCATGCGCCCAGGCACACCTGGCGCAGTTGGTACACCAATGTGGCCTACGAGGTGGGTCATAAGCACTTCATGAAGCCGAAGTCCACCGGTGCCTCGCCGCCTGGCATCTTCTGTTGCTGTCGATCAGGTTTTCATTCAATCGGAAATAGGCGCACACCGAAGACAAATAGGGGGAATCATACATATAATAGAGGGGCGCTCATTAATCGCGTTACAAGGCACACTCCCCATCTTTTGCCTTGCAGCCCAAACTTGATCCCCTCTAGCAGTCTCACGATGGCTAGCAATACGGGGAGAATAACATCATTGACGAAGTCAACTGGAATATCCGTTACTGGACAAATGCGTCATTATAAAAGCGGGCTCGGGGACACTATTTCAAACAGGGTGATGTGATAGCTTAGAGGCACCAATGCATACGCTTTATGATCTCCATTTAAGGAACTTTCAGTCAATGTGAGCAGCATTCCTCTTATTCCAATTTCAGATTGTTTGCCGACTAGCCGTTTGTGTGGCGCGCCCTCGAACGCCCTCCAAGTATTAATGTAGATGACTCCCATTCTCGTACAGTGCGCAAGTTGACTGGCTCCTTGAGTATAGCAAGCTGGAAAGACGACAACGGTTCCGTCTGAAGCTACGTTGGTGTGTTAAATGTAAGTGATTCCATTATAGGAACCTCACTGCTGTCTTCTTAAGCATAGTTTCGATTATTGTATAACAGATGCAGTTTAGACTGGCGGGCCGATAATTATTCATAATCGTTCTGGCCCCATCCTTGTATTGTGGGTCGATTTTTGTTGTCTTTCATGCTAATTGCAATTGGAACGTTTATTTAATAATTCCTTCGAGAACTTCGCCGTTAACCGGACCCAGTGGCATAGCATCTTAGAAATTCTTAGTCTCTCTATTAGCGCTGCAATGAGGAGCATATATTCAAGAAAGGGGTCGCCTTTTTCAAGAGAATGATTGACGTTGCGAATATGAAATTCCGTTTCCCTAATGGATGCCGGAGTAAAGTATAAGCAAAGTGTTCGGATTTGTTGACGTTTATAACGAATTCTACGCAACTGTCATCCCGAGTTCTTTGACGAGAGTTTTGGTTTTCAGTCGTCTGTTCGACTAATGGAATATGTCCTTGGGCGTCTGCCCAGCATGCTGAATAATTTGTCTTTTTTCAGATGGATCCAGGTTTTGACAGCATTTCATTGCCACCGAAATTCTTCGAAAATTCTGTAAACCGGGCTCACTTAAGTTCGTTCAATTCCTATTTTCCTTCCTTACCTGTCAACTGAGATCTCCTGTCAACCAGATAGGATAGATAGTCGGTTGTGGCAACCTCACTGGGCAGACTCACTGGGCAACAGCACCGAATCAAATCTAGCGAAATCGTTTCAGAATATATCCAGTCTTTACCCGGATCTCCGTGAGCAAAGAGCCCAGTTCACAGACATCATTTTATTCCCCGTCATGTTAAAATCCACTCTCCATATATTGGGCTGCCGCCGAGAAGTGTGAGTGGACGCTAGGAGCGTGGCGTTGTCGCTCTTCTCGAGAGGTACATTAGAATGCCACTCAGAAATGCTAGAGAATTCTATCCGGAAAACAATATCCAGGTTATTGGCCCCCCGGTTCTCTCTATATATCAGTGTTTTTTACAGTCTTTGCCAGAAGCAAGTTACGTGTGAGATGCATTAACCCGTTATTAAGGGAGCAAAGCGCACCGTAAACTGCCAGATTTGCCTAGGATATTGCTGGGGCTTTTAAATCTCCGGCACTAAGAGCCCCTTTGGGGTTAGCTAATTTCTTCGCCAACTGGAGTAGCGTGTCGTTAGCTGCACACAGTTGATCCGAAGGCAGTTAAAATATCAGGAGTTCTAGGTTTTGCAAATTGCTATTCTTTGTCAAAGCTAGAGAAAGCCCACTTGTCAGGGAGCAAGGCTGACATTACGGATTTGGTAACCTCTGATTAGTGCATCGATAGCGTACTTGAAGTCTCGACCTACACACCCAAGTCCCTCGGAGAGCTCACTTTTTAAAATGATGTGTCATTCAGCAGGTCAATCTTGCGTTTCGGTAGTCTAGCTCAGAGGACCCGTAGGCTGCTTACCTCGCTGACATTAGTCGGCAAGAGTTAGGTGTATGACCAGTGCACTAGTGGGTTCAGGTTTGCCTGCAAACGTTTTCTCCTGCTTTGCTGTGGATAATGCTCCCGAGCTGGACGAAGTGGATTAGTCCTCGTTGTCTACCATTTTGCACAATTTTAGCAGAATGAACAGAGGCTGATGTCTGTAATTGTATGAGTAGATCCTACTGCCGAATTCATTTAACGGTGTAATCCACGTAAATTCCCGGGGAACAGAAAACAGCCGGGTACAAAGAAGACCTTCAAATCACGGAGGGTGACTTGTCTGCTCTTCCAGCAAGAACCTTCAACAATTTTTTCAGGCTTATCATTTAGGCCCTGTGATTTTGACCTATAATTGGCAGCTCATTCCAAACAGCCGTTCCCGCAACAGATACGGCTTAAATGGTTTGAGAGTAACTACTACCAAACTACATTTAATCCCGTTTTGAGTGACGGTAAGACAACTACCGAAAGAACTTCACGAAGATGAGAAGTATTCTGGTCGAATCATCAGTCGCAAGGGCTTCATTGATTTACTTAGAATTTATTATATCCGGGGCCCTATCATAGGGGATGTATGAATGCTCGGGTCTGATCACCTGCGTGTTTCTTCAAAGGACACGCTCGATCACGCAACTTCTATTTATCTTATTAATCTTTTAACATAGAGCTGCATTCTAAGTTGAGTCGGCAAACAAAAAAGAGCATCTAGACAGAGTAGTCTCGTGGTCACGTTGACGATCGTCAGGGCGGAGTCCTTCTAAGCCTGTAATATCAAGTGGATATCAGCGGCTTCAAGAAATCAAAAGTCGTCCAGTGTGTCTACGAACTCATATGGAGGCTTTGGAATGCGTGCAGATTTTACAGCTACCTACGCCTACACCACGGTGCAGGTAGACGAAACAGAATATAACAACCGTCGGAGGGATTATTGAGGGCTTTACTCCAGAATATTGATAATCAACCTTTGCTTCGCGCGTTAAAAATAACGTATTGATTGTGGAGTTTGCTCAGTGCTCCCAATGTCCAATTGATCAATTAGAAATGTTGTTTAAGAAGACGTTTCGGTATCGAATAAGCCGTTACTGATGTCTTCTGATAGACTTTCACGGCTAAGCAGCTACGCGGCAGCAACTATGAATGCCAAGGCCCCCTGGGTGCGGGGTGTTAGGAAGTTCAGGAGCAAATCAGTGTCGTACTCCTGTGAATAGATGCCATCCTGTCCATACTGTTACCTCACGTGCAGATCAAGTGCACATCACATGCGGACTGACGAACTGATGTCAGGAACTTGAACGTACTCATCGCAGCCATCTCAACTACTTGCATTGCCTATACAACTCATTAACCGCATGGACCTACACGGTCGCTAGTCTCCATGAGAATCTGCGGTAAATCACCGTGGAGCAAACCTCATCACCACTCATCATTCCACCAGTTGATACACCTCCCACGAACCCTTCCCGTATCAGGGAATGGACACCCCCCGCATAATTGACAAAGTGTTA